AAAAGCTTAGCAGAGTGACTAGACCATCAGAAATATTCAATATATGGGGGCGCCTGGGTGGCTCAGTCGTTAAGTGTCTGCCTTCCGCTCAGGTCATGATCTCAGGGTCCTGGGATCAAGCCCCACATCGGGCTCCCTGCTCCGCGGGGAGCCTGCTTCTCCCTCTCCCACTCCCCCTATTTGTGTTCCCTCTCTCGCTGTGTCTCTCTCTGTCAAATAAATAAATAAAATCTCTAAAAAAAAAAAAAAAGAAATTCAATATATGGTAGCTATAAAAACAATCTTAGGAAATAAACTAATTAGATGGAATAATTACCACATCAGTCTAGATGTTACGTAACCAAAATGCTGCTGCACAACAGAATGCATTTTATCAGGTTACTAAAGATTTGTTGCCCAGGTATACCTTTTCTAGTATTTGCTGTTCAGGTATCTATTCTTTCACAGTTAGATCACATTTCTGAATCAGAAGGGATCAGCTACTTAAGAAATATGGAGGCCCAGATTTAGCCACAGGGTTTGAATTTAGTGTTTCTTCTCTCTGGCATTAACAGCATTTGCTTTTACTTTTATATGTAAAAGAATATCTTAATATATAGGCAGAAAAATCTGGCTAATATGAGGGCAAGGAAAGAATGCTCTAGTCCAAAGAATCATTGTCTGTAACAGCAAATTTTAAGTTCCCATCATTAATAATACCTTTCTAGTCCTCTTCAAAAGGAGACCTGCTATTTATTTTTCTTTTTTATTATGGAAAATTTCAAAACAAAACAGACAGGAGAGTATAAGGATCCTCGCGTACTTGTCTACCTGGCTTTGACAACTATCAGCTCATGGCCAATTTCATTTCATCTATACTCCTACTTCCCTCTCCTACATTATTCTGAAGCAAATCCCAGGCATAGTATTTCACCCGTGAATATTTCAGCATATATTTATAAAACATATGGGCTCTTTAAAAAAACATAACTACAACATCATCATCACAACTGGGTAAATGGTGATCAGAAACCAGAGATATCTGGGAAGAGAAGTAAAGAAAGAACAAACTCAGATGCTTACAGGTAACACTTTGCTATGTCTATCCTTATTGGGCATGTAAATTCCTTTTAGGAAGCCCATCTTATGGATTCAAATACTTTTTTTTTTTTAACTTGTAGCAAGAATTACTACTAAACTCCACTCATTGGGCCAGAGACACTTGTGGTATTAGCCAAAGACTTGCCCCTCACGTAGCACACTACCTACACTTGTGAGTTCATTGGCCAACCAGCCTCAACTCCAAGCTCTAACAATGTGCGGGGCTTCGAATACTATTTACTTACTGAGGTCTGCATTCATGCCTCTAGTTCAGATCTCCCTACTCCCCCTTTGCACAGTAGTCAAAACTCTACCTGACATCACTACTTTGATGTCTAATCGACATCTCAAAGCTAACATATCTAAAATGGAATTTTTAGTTTTACCCCCAAAATGTGACTCATATCTTCCCTATTTCAATAAATGGCTATTTCCATTAGTTGCTAAAGCCAAAAATAATTGGAGTAATCTTTGACTCCTTCCTTTGCCCAACCTCCACAATTAATCAATCACCAAGTGCTGTTGGTTTTACCTTGAGATTATTAATTTCTCCTATTATTAATGACACTACCCTAAGCCAAATCACAACTGAGAAATAATTGGACTATTAGAATAGTCTTCTGGTTTTCCTTATAACATGTTGGCCCTCTCTGGTCCATTCTCCACAAGAAGGGAGACTGGTCTTTCCAAAATGTTAATCACGGATCATGAGCTGGTAATTGCTGAAGCTGTGTGATGGATTCATTATATTAATTTCTTCTCCTTTGTATACGTTTGAAATTTTCCAAATTAAAAAAGATGAAATATTATTCAGATTATCTTATTTTACTTCTCTGCTGACTTCGCAATGTTCTTACAATAAAATCCAAATGTCTTGCCTAGGCCTGTGAACCCCAGCCTGCCCTCTGTCTACATGTCCAGCTTTTTTTTTTTTTTAAAGATTTTATTTATTTATTCATGAGAGAGAGAGAGAGAGAGGCAGAGGGAGAAGCAGGCTCCCAAGGAGCAGAGAGCCCGATGCGGGACTCGATCCCAGGACCCTGGGATCATGACCTGAGCCGAAGGCAGACGCTTAACCATCTGAGCCACCCAGGCGCCCCTACATGTCCAGCTTTATCTGATGCCATTTTTCTTGCTCACTCTGCCCAGGCCATAACCTTTCATCTCTAAGAACTCTTTAAGCTCTTTCTTATCTTAGAGCATTTGTGCTTGTTATTTCCTCTACTAGAAAATGGTCATTCCCTCGCTCTTTGCGAGGCTGGCTCCTTCTCTTGTTTCAGGTCTTAGCAAAAATGTCACCTCCTTAGAGAGGCTTTTCTTAACCACTCCATCTAAATTAGATCCTCTCCCTTCACCATTACTATCATATTATTCTGTCTACTTCCTATCTTACCACAATTTATAACTATCTTGTTTGTTTATATATATATATATATAGCCTCATAAATTTGAATGTTTTTAAAACATATTTGAAGGCATACCCACACATGTTCTATTCCATTCATTTTATAGTGTCAATTCTTCGAAAAATTTTAATCATCTTCCTTCATAAACAAAGATTTATAAATGAATTAAGATTTTGATCAGGGGAGTAACTTCTTGAAATTTTAAGAGGAGAGTGATATGAAATATGAATTGGTGAAGGTGAAATTGGAATTAGAAACGTCTATTTCAATATACCCCCTATTTGATTCTAAATTTCCCAATGCTTTTGAATCTGAATAATTCTAAGTGACAGCCATGGTTTGATTTAAATGTTTAACCTCTGGAATTATATTCTGTATTATTAACATGACACCTCTATCATTTCTAAGACCAATATATTTAAGTTTTATCAGCTGTTTATTTCAGGCAACTTTCCTTGAGATATGAAAAGAAGAACTCAGCAGGTAGTTTAGCAGAGTCTCTCCTCTGCCCATCATTATCCTGATTCAGTGTCATAGAATTCATCTAAATTGTGTTAGAACATCTAATTCCAATAGAATTCATCTAAATTGTGTTAGAGCAAAGCTACATAAGCCAGTTACCAAATCAGGGAGCAGATGGGAACTGTCTGCCAGTCATTTGAAGGATACCCCTGACATGACAGAATTTTAGAACTGGAGGATATCTTACAGATCATGTAATAATCCAAGGCCCTCATTTTAACAGGGGTGAGACTGTTGTTCTAACAGGTTAACTGATTTACTCTTCCCAAACATAATTTCCTAATCTGGTAATTTAAGTTTTACTTTCAGAAGACCCTCAAGGAATTAAATAGTAAATTAGTAGTACCAAATCAAGATCTGGGCTTTTGTCATAAATCCATTATTTTCACTATATTAAGATAAATCCTTTCTCCCCCTTCTTTCCTCCATCTTTTGAGTCTTTAAGTCTTCTCAAATTACTTCAGTGACCTCTGCTATTTCCGAGATAATGTCAAGAATCCAATATTTCCTTCTGTTTAAAAAAAAACGGTTTCATTTACTGACATACTGAACTAATACTGCACAAACCTCTCAGAATATATTTCATAGGGCGCTTGGGTGGCTCAGTTGGTTAAGTGACTGCCTTCGGCTCAGGTCATGATCCTGGAGTCCCAGGATCGAGTCCCGCATCGGGCTCCCTGCTCGGCAGGGAGTCTGCTTCTCCCTCTGACCCTCCTCCCTCTCATGCTCTCTGTCTCTCATTCTCCCTCTCTCAAATAAATAAATAAAATCTTTAAAAAAAAAAAGAATATATTTCATATTGTTACTTCTTTTTTTTTTTTAAGATTTTATTTATTTATTTGACAGAGAGACACAGCGAGAGAGGGAACACAAACAGGGGGACTGGGAGAGGGAGAAGCAGGCTTTCCCTGCTCTTTTTTTTAAAATATTTTATTTATTTATTTGACAGAGAGACACAGCGAGAGAGGGAACACAAGCAGGGGGAATGGGAGAGGGAGAAGCAGGCTTCCCACTGAGCAGGAGCCCCGATTGGGGGGGGGTCTCAATCCCAAGACCCTGGGATCATGACCTGAGCCGAAGGCAGACACGCTCAACTGACTGAGCCACCCAGGCACCCCAAATAGCTGTACATTATTTAAGTTTTGTTCAGATACTTTGAAAACTTACTTGTGGATTTGATGCATGTTGTGAATAAAGAAGATGGACATCTCTTGTGTAAAATAAATGGGTACTCGAATTGATAATGTTGTGGTAGGCTGGTCATCAGTGGCAATGCTGATTAAGCACTTATGGGGCCCAAGACCATTATAACCATTGGACCTTCTGCTGCACAAAACATTCTAGAGGCTGATTCAGTATCCTTTATAGAGAGTCCTGCATTTCGGAGTTAAGGGGTTCAGGGCCAGGCTTTATAACCTATTTAAGAATGCTCAACATACCTTGAATATGTCACTACAGCAGTTTTCCCAGCTACTTATGACAGCCTAACTTGCCTGTCGAAACACTGATGGACCCTGACCTCTCGTAGTTCAGGGTTTTAAGATACAACCATAAAACGACAGGGAGCTTGATTTAGACTTTCTCTCTTCTGGCCGAACCACACCCAAACCATTCCAAACACGTTAAACTTCCTTCTGTTTTTATTTGCTAGCAAAGAGACTCCATAACCTTTCATCATCCTTTGCTGAACACTTGCAGCGGGCAGAACTCTGGTGGCAGTTCCATCCCTCACTGCAGAACCCTGACATCCCAGAGTTGAAGCCCACTTCCTTCCTGACTGCTGAAACCCAGCTAAGCAGTTCGGAGGGCTCTGCCACGACCCCCAACTGGGTGGACGGGCCTTCCCTGGCCTGATGGCTCCACTGTGCTCGCTGGGCGTGGTCCGGGGCTGCAAGGACGTCCAGAACTTGGCTGACCCACCGCCACAGCGGGAGGAGGGGGGTGGGCGTGCGCCGCTCTCGCGAGAGCTCGCGGCGCGAGGGCCGCGGGGGGCTAGGGGTTAGGAGGGGAAGAGGAGGAGGAAGAGGAGGAGGAGGAAGAAGAGGAGGAGTCCGGGCAGGTGCGGCGAGCAGCTCGGCAGCCGCGGCGGCTGTTCTCCGGGGAGCAGGCGTGTGGCCCTTTCCCCGCCTTCTTCTCCTTCCCCTCCCAGTGAGTGATTCGGGCCGTGCGCTTCCCACTTCCGCCCCCTCAGCCTGCCATCGGAACTAGGGAAGCCGAACAAGTTGTGGCAGTCGAGCAGCCGGCGCTCCCCTTCCTCCTCCTCTCCTCCTCCTCTTTTCTCCTTCCCTCTTCTTCCCTGGCCGCTGCCGGAACCGCCGCCGACGCCCCGAGGCCTAGAGACCGCCGAGCCCCCCAGCGCACGCCGCGGCCGACATGAGCTTCTTGTTGTGAGTAGCCAGGCCCCGCGCGCGCCGGCTTTGTTCGGGAGACCAGGGCCGGGGGCCCCAGCTCGCCTTGCCCCTTGCTGCCCGGGCCGGGCATTCCAGTGGAGAAGGTCCCTGGGAACATGCCCGGTGCGCTGGCGCTGCCTGACGGCTGTCGCCTCCACAACCCGCTTCGAGCTCGCCTGGAGCCCTCCAGCCCCCAAGGAGGCTCATTCTCCCCGGACCCCAAGTCCTGACACACCCCGGTGCCTGGATCTGCATTTCTCCATCACCCCGGTTCTCTTCTCTCTTCTCTTGGGTTTGTGGGTTTGGACGCCCAGCACAGATACCACCCACTCCCCCTTATGCCCCCTACGCGTCGCGTGCCCGGTGGCCCTGTCCCCGTTTCACTTGCCAATTGCATTTTTCTGGGTCCCAAGCATAGAAAATCGGGGGTTATACTTTTCCCTGTCACCCCAGCACCCCTTTAACTTCCCTCTTAGGTTTTAGGAGTGGAAAGTTGGGGTGACAAGTCCTGTGGATATAACACCCTTAATGAGGCAGCTTTCGGGTCGGGATCCCATGGGTCTTGGGGTCTGGAGCAGCTCCTTACTTCCCCGAGGCGCCCTTCTTCCCAGTGTGCTCCCCTGAAAAGTACGGGCTTTATCTTTTTAGACAACCACCAAGTAGTCTGAGTATTGTGCCCCGGGGTTGATTAGGTCCGCTGGGGAGTTGTTTTGCAAATCATTTGTAAATGCCGACTTAACGTCACATTTAGGGCTGGTCATTATTTCATTTACTTAACCTTTACTGTAGACGAGTTTGGGGGGATGGGCAGAAAGATGGGATGGCCAAATGGGGGTATGGAGGCAGCAGCCAGCCTCAGGTCGTCAGTAAACAGGACATTACACCCTTGGAATTCCTCTTTTGAAAGCTTCGTTGTGATTCACCTATGTTTAAATCGGTGGTTAGAAAGCTCATAAAAACTCAGAGATTGAAACTCGCACCACATACTCCTTTACTGTTGTGGATAGAATAGCATTTTTCTTCACAACAATGACAATAGCAGTTCTGTTCCGATTCTCCCACCTGTAATTTTTAGTCATCACGTTGGCACTTGGATCCTGAGAATTTAATTAACTCTTAATTTCACGTGCTCAGATGTAGAATATTAATCGTTTTTCAAGCATTCGAGCAATACTGAGTGATCACAGAAGGCTAACTGGCAGGCCGAATTGCTGTTTCTCATATGCACAGGAGTCCTGGCTTGTGTCACCCTGCCTAACGTATGTGAGTTTGTGAATCTCTTTCTTAGGCTCATCCTAGAAGTTGATTCTGAGTTTGTCGTGTAGGTAGTGCTAGATGAGAGGACTGGGTGACTTCGTGAAAGACTTTGTTTCCTATTTTAGATTGAATCAAGATACCCAGGTATCTCAGCCTGAAGCTTCTCATGTTGACTATATTTTACATTGCTGATGTTTGGTTTCTTCAAGAATTTAAAAGCTGTCTTCAAAATAGCAATGTAGGTGATGTCCATGACTACTGCTGATGGGCTTATGTCTCTTGGAACTCATAGCTAAATTGGTTGGAGCAGGGAGGAACCATATTTGGCTGAAACTAGGGGATGGAGAAGGTTTTGGTGGTATTTTCTGAATGCAAATAGAATAGTATCCTGTTTTTACATGGCTCAGTATTTAATAGTTACAGAAATGCAGTGGACAAGTTCATTTCTCCTGAAGCATACTAGTTACATAAGAAAAATCTTGCCATAATGAATATAGATATATAGCACCTTAGAGGGTTTGTACTATTTGGAGCACAATTTTGCAGTTGGGTCTCATATAGCAGCAGTTAATGTATTCCCAACATATTTAGCCGTTGTGCTTGACAATACAGAAAAGTAAATCCAACCTTCCTGGTTTGGGGTTTTGTACACCAGTAGTTTAAAATCTAAAGTGGAGACCTCATAGATAGAAATAATTATTATCAGACATGAAAGAACAAAGTTTTGGTTATTTCATATGTATGTTATTTGGTATAGCTTTCTGAATATTATTTCTCTACCAGTAGGTAAGCAGAGAAATTAAGAGTTGCAGGTTAGGAAATAAATATAAATATTTTCCTCTAGTTCTTGGAAGCCTACTTGTAAGGCTACTGTGAGTGGATGGAGCTGAGGAATGTTTATGAAGGTGCTGACTCATAACTCCTTAGGGCTTTAAGACAGAAGGAAAGAATTATTGATTAAAAAAATCATTTAATGTGCCAGGCACTGATGTTGGCACTGGATATCATTTATGAACAAAACCAACAAAAATTCCTGTATTAGTTCAGCTTATGTTTTGGTAAGTGACCATAAACACTGAATGTCAGTAAATTATATTACATGGTAGAGGATGTAGGTACCATGGAACAAAGTAGAGCAGGGTAAAGAGGTTTTTTTTGGATAGGGAGATGAGGTAGATTAGGTAATCTCCAGAGGATGCCCAGATAATCAGCAGCAGTGATACCTTTTGTAGCTTTTGTACAAATGCTGAGAATAAGCTTGTATGGCATATGTAGATATGACTGGGACAAAGCTTTGGTTGTGCTGCAAATTGGCCTTTGTGTATCTTCAGATTAATAAGCTAAACTCCCAAATGTACATAGGGAAACTTCACAGGAACCTAATTTAACTTTGTAGATTCAAATCTTTAAACATCCTCAGCACCTGCTGTGTGCTAAGTAAGCATTGTGCAAGATGTGGGACTCCAGAGTGGTAGACAGTTTATAAATAGTCATCTGTAATAGATGCAGTACAATCATGGGGGGTCTAAGAATATGGAGCAATTTGTTTTATTTGGGCTGCAGGAAGGCTTCATGAAAGAAGTGATGGATAGTTAATGGGATGTATAACAAGGGTTCTCTAAAAGGGTATGGGGAACTGGAAGATTTCAGTCAGAGGAGACATCATAGAGATACGAACTTGGTTGTGAATTGTCCATTTTCAGGTTTGTCCAAGAGGCTGTGGAATTGTGGAGCTAGGTGGGATCCATCCATAACATAGCTTGCTCAGCCTCTTAGTAAAATGGCAAAATCATCGACATCAGGTTACTGGTCTAATTATGGGGTTGGGTTCAATCGGAACACAGGTAGGTCTCTTAGGGTTTTTCCTATATGGCATTTTATGCATATAACATTCAGGGAAATTTAGGATCAGAGTGAGTTCTCAACATTCGCTCAAAGTATATTGAGTGTTCTCTATGTTTCTAGCATTTTGAAATTGCTAGTCTCTTCTGACCAGTAGAATTTCACAGAAATACTTGACTTGGAGAAGACCAAGGTATTATTTCCTAATGTAGGGCTACTTGGTTGGAACAGAATTAAAACAAATACTTGTAGTTAACTTTAAAATGGAAGTTGGAGGAAAGGTGGTTTAGGGATGTGAATGAATATAAACCAGGTCTGTTTCTGTATAGGAAGAATCAAAGAGATAGGTTGGGAAAAGAAAGAAATATTTATTGAGCATTATGCTGGGTAACTTCAGTTTATCTTTTCTAAAAAATAGCAATTTAGGGACGCCTGGGTGGCTCAGTCAGTTAAGCGGCTGCCTTCGGCTCAGGTCATGATCCCAGGGTCCTGGGATTGAGCCCCGCATCGGGCTCCCTGCTCGGTGGGGAGCCTGCTTCTCCCTCTCCCTCTGCTTGTGCTCTCTCTGTCAAAATCTTTAAAAAAATAAAAATTAAAAATAGCAATTTAGGAAAGGAGATGTAGCTGTGTTTATATGTCTGTCTCTGTCATCCTCTATCTTTCCCCCCACCCCCAGTAATCCCAGCATCTTTGTTTTAAGGCAAATGAGTTGACTGACGTGAGTGCTTCAGCATCTTCACCTATGAAAGGAGTTAATAATAATGTTATCATTGGGGCGCCTGGGTGGCTCAGTTGGTTAAGCGGCTGCCTTCGGCTCAGGTCATGATCCCAGGGTGCTGGGATCGAGCCCCACATCAGGCTCCCTTCTTGGCGTGGAGTCTGCTTCTTCCTCTCCCTCTGTCTGCCGCTCTGCCTACTTGTGTTCTCTCTCTCTCTGTCAAATAAATAAAATCTTTAAAAAAAATAATAATGTTATCATTAATAATAAATCTTGCTAAGTACTTGCCATGTGCCAGGCACTAAATGTTTTAAATGATTAACTCAGTTCAGTAACTAGCAGGAACCCTAGTAATTTGTTCAGAATTATGTAGCCAGTGATACAGCTGGGGTCTGAATCCTAGCGGTCTAGATCCAGGGATTCTGCCTCATACTGTTGTATCTGTAATTGATAAAATTATATAAAAAGATAGTATTCAAATAGGTGTTGATTTTAAGAGAAGTCTCTGTTCCCAGGTATTAATATTTCATACTCCTGGGACTGTTTGTTAAGGGTCACCAAGAATATAATGGTAGAAGAAAAAAATACATAAACTTTTAAATTTAAATAATACTTTAAAATTATTTTTGACCTCCATTTTTAATGTAAAAATAATACACATGTTGGAGAAATCACAATATAGTGCTAAGAAAAGGAAGAAAATAAAAGTCACTCATGATTACACCTTCCAAAATAACTGTTATTTGTATTGTGTGATACAGTTTCCTAATCTTTTCTGCCATGTTTCTACCATATATAGATTAGGTTTTTCATTTGGGAATTTTTTATGTCAGTAAACATCATTCAGCAACATCATTTTGAATGGCTTTTGACCAAGTGTTAACAGTTTTGTTGCCTGACAACCTGATTTAATATGTTATGTTTTTTTGAGGGGGAGAGGGCATAGAGTAAGTGTGGTCATCTTTTTAGAACTACAGTTTGGGAATTGTAGATATTTGGCTGGCTTTAGTTTATTTTTCCTCTCTAATATAGGATTGCTTTTGCTTTACATTACTGAATGCAAAATAATTACTATGTGATTATTTTTACCATTACTGACTTTTTTCCCCTCTGTATAGTTGCAGAGTTTTTGTACTCTGGATTTTCTAATATACAAAAGCACTTTTCAGCTGTATATTCG